AGGAAAACAACCCTCTCAAGTGTAATGCAGGTATAATTTTAAGACTCAGAGTGTCAACACTTGAAAATGGAATTAAACACTGGAGACTCTTCAGACTTGAAGGGTGCGTCATCTTCAATATTTGACTATTATCTCATCTAGCACTGCAATACTTCTTTTCTCCCTGGAGAAGAGGAGGCTCAGGGGATCCCTCATCAGGGTATTCCAGTACTTGAGGTGTAGCTACAAAGAAGACAGAGGATCTCTCTTCACAAGGAGCCATATGGAGAGGACAAGGGGCAATAGGTACAAATTGCACCAGGAGGGGTTTCACCTCAGTATAAGGAAATTTTTTACAGTGAGAACAATCAATCACAACTTCCCCAGGGATGTGGTGGAGTCCCCATCACTGGAGGTTTTCAAGATGTGACCTGACAAGGTGCTAGATAATCTCATCCAGGTTTCCTTTCCCACAAAAAGGTAGACCAGATGATCTTTCAAGGTCCCTTCCAAGCTGTGCCATTCTATGATTCTACGACTCTAGTCCAGCACACCTTTGCAGGGGGTCCCGTGTGAAAGTAAAAAAAAAAAAAAAAATCATAGCATGAAGAAGTGGTCCCAAATGGAGAACCGAAGAAGTTAATTGTAAGACATAAGAAAAAGTCCAAAAGGAACACAGGAAGTTCTCAAATGTATGGCAAGGCCCGAGTATTAGAGACCTGGTAGTTTTCAGAGTCATTACGGACCTCCACACCAAATAATTATCTTTTATGACCCCTAAAATTTCACTTATGGATTCTTCATTCTTGCCATAAGATCAAATCACTCTGATAACCCGAAAGGCCTAATAGAACATTATGTACTTCTGACAAAACCCAAAAAGTTGAAACTTGAAAATAAAATTGTTTTAAGGAATTTATTTTTAATGTTGAGTTCTTCCATAATGTTAATGTACAGACTAGATTAATACCTTCACTTGCGTCTTCTCAGACACTTGCTGTGATCAGAAATAGGTGAGGCAGAATTTGGATGACTAATAAGTTACCAGGGTGTATTCTGTCCATGGATATGTTTCTTGTCAGGTATTTCTGACAGACACTTCAGGTAATATTCTAGTTACATCAGTGTGACCAAATTAATTTATTTGTAATACAGAAGGTTAAGTAAGAGGAGAACTCATGCTGAAGTATTATTCTTTTTCTGCATCTTACTTACTCAATGTTATGCTTGGCAGGTTGAACAAATATTTTAGTTCTACACATAATACAGATTATTTTTATGTACCTGCATTTACATTCTGAATATATAAAAATTTGCTCTTTGGAACAGGGCAGTTTTGAGCTTAAATAACTTTTCAACTATTGGACAAAACTGGATCAACTATCTCTCTTCATTTTTTACTACTCAATGAATTCTGCTGGTTTATGCATGACTGATTATCTTCTTTACACTCATTTAAATAAAAGTATGGTTCACAGACGAAATGGAACTATAACATAGGGAACAAAATCCTAGCATGAAGTTGTTTAAAGATGGTATCTGGAAATACTTTATTTTCAATCTCTTTCCCATATGGAAATAGGAATTCATCCCATGTTACTTAATTCCCTTGATTATTCTCAAGAGTTATCTGTTGTAATCCACCATTGTTTCACTAGCTAGTTAGCTCCTGATTTATTTTTCTCAGCAGTAACATGTGAGAGTGAAGCAGAATGCAGTAAGTGTTAATAAGGAATAAAGTGAAATGAGGCAAACATCATTACCAAAAAATCCAGGTTCCATAGTAAAATTATATGCCATGTATTAGCTTTTTTCTAAACAAAGAAATATCATCAATAGCTTTCAGGTTTAGCTATTTTTATTTCAACAGTACATTAGAATCTATATTTAGCTTACATGCTAACAACTGATTAGAGAAAAATCAAATTTTATAGTTTACCATACAGGATAAGAAATGGGGTTTATGACAGCAATTGTTATTAGGAAATAGCAGTAAACTAAGCTGAGTAAGTAACAGCCCAGAAGCTACTCTCAACATTATAATCTAAGAGAAATCAAAGATGATGCTATCTAGAAGAGACAGATAACAAAATAGATTATCTACACAAAGTCCTCTCTCATATCATAATGCTCCTACTGATCTGATGTGCCAAAAACACTATGGGCAGACAGACATAGTCATTAAGTGCCATAAAGCAGCAATCACCTGGAATATGCTCAAATAGCTGATCTTCCAAAAATCAAAATCCACTACCAAGGACAGTTTAACTGTCAGCAGAAAAAAAAAAAAAACCAAAAAAACCAAAGCCACACACAAAAAAACCCCCCAACTAAAACAATGATCAGGTTTCATCTTTATAAAGGAAGGTGGCATGAACTTCAAACAATGGCCAATACACTTCTGTTTGTTCCAGGTTTTGCAGAGATTACCTGTCTTACATGTACCGAGAGACAGTTCTGTCAGCAGCAAGTACATAAGAGAAGAGAAGCAAAAAAGAAGGCAGTTGAGAATAGCCAGTAAACAGAATTTGTGATTTTTTACTTTTGCTGGCAAATTTGGTAGGGCCCAACTAAAGAGATTATGAATGGAAACACTTTCTCACTTAAAGGCAAGTCATGTATCCATGGTCAGGTGCCTCAGCATATGACAAATGTTCTGCAGAATTTGAAATGGATTGCAGTGAAATAAATTCCATAAAATCTATTCATAAAGTTGCAGTTAAATTGAAATACATTGAAACGAATCCCATAAGTTTCTAGATGTAAATTCCATCTGTTCACCATCTTTCTCTGAAGGCCAAAATAATTTGACTGAAACCTAGAATCTACTCTTCCATTTCAATTTATGCTAATATAACCTAATTGCTATACTATAGTAAGAGCCTAAAAGCAAGTCCCATATTTGATATAAAACAGATTTCATCCCCTAAAGCAAATTACTTTAACACTTACAGTAGCTCTTTTTTTGAATTAGCAGCATGTTGACTAACAGTACTCCATTTAAACTATTCTAACATCATAGTCATGAGGCTTTTGTTTTTATACTTGCAAATTGCCATCTCCTCTCCCCTCCTGAAGGGGAAGTCATCTTTTCACTGATCAAAAGGTGATCCAATGATGAAGATTAATTTTTTTCCATTAGTAAAACTGTTGGTATTAATAGTTTTTCTACAACATACTTTCAATAACGACCCTGAATGAAAATGGCGGCTTTGACAACAATTTACACCTGGAAAAATAATTCTAGTCTTACAGAAATACTCAAGAAAAAGAAAAAAATCCTTGTTTATACCTCCTAGTGGGGAGTATTTTTTATACGTGTTGAAAAACTTCCCTCTAAGACACATGGGGTAGAAATATCTTACAGGCATCATGCCACATACAAGATCCCAAGTGATGAGGAAAAAATTCTTCCCCATTTTTATCTGTAGCAAAATTGCTCCTATATATGATTTTTGGACATCAAGCTAGCTTATATATTTCAAAATATTTCAGAATACTTATGTATTTGTAAATCCATGCTAAAAGCTTGCAGTACCCAGAAATTTTAAAAAGCCACAGCAAATGAGAAACTGCAAACTAGTTATAAACTAGAACAAAGACTGGAGTGTAAGACAGCTATTTACACAAGAGCTGTGTTCGTTGCATTTGACAGTTCAAAGAGGCCCTTCACACCTCCAGGAGCTCTGTGCTCTGCTGCACCCCAGCTCCCTATCAGTATGACTGTAGGGGAACTGGTCAGGAGCAAAATCAAGAATCTCATTATAAGAACCAACACAAGAGGAAACCTAAAGCAATGGCAGTGCTCAACTTCAGTCAGCAATTTGACTTCCAAACAAATGCAAATTTATTACAGACCAGTTCCAGTCACAGAAGAAATGCAACGGTTTGACCTGTTGTTCCATGATCCATTGACAAGTGTATGACAAAACTAGAAAACAAAAGGTTACATTTCCTTTCAAAGATTTATAAAGAATCCAACCAGTAACATTTCCCAGTTTCTGGATTTAGAAGTTGGTTATGAATGATGCACAGTGCAGATACAAAACTGCAATGTGTGAAATTAGAGCCTTTCCTAGAAAATCTGTAATCTGAGCCTTTAACTCAGACACACCATTGTAGTACATAAAAAGAAACACGGAATGGTCTGTTTAAATGATATAAATATAAACGAGTTTAATACCAGGACAAAAACTTATTCAACAACAGCAACTGAGACACACAAGATGAAGCTTTAGCTTCAAAACTTACATTCAAGACTCCTGTGCCAAAGCCATACTCAATTATCCACTAAAAAATTCCTTGAAAAAGTGTCATACCATTCACAATGCAGCAACAGAAACTTATGTCCACTAATGTTATTAACTTTGTAATACAAACTAGGCATTTTCATTAGGGCAGGGACAGCTGTAATAATTGTATAACCACAGCTTAAGCCCTATTGGCAGTTCAGGTGGGTAGCTATTGATGTTCCTAAGGAGAAAACAAAACAAAACACACCAAACCAAAACCCACCAACAAAACTCACAAACCACACATGGCCAGAATTTGTTCTGCTCAAATTTTAAGGAACATTTGC